GATCAACCTTAGCGACGTTGCTGTTGCTCGGCCTTGGACTATATCAGCCTCTTTTAACCGTCTCAGTCGTCGTGGAGACTGACAAGTCATCGCTGAACCCTCCATGCCCAGACGCGTGTCATTGGAGCCCTCAAATGTGAAAACTCTGGTTCACGTCATCTCTGCTAATAAGAGGCCCGGTTCAATCAGGCTGCGGTCTTCGACTTGCAAACTTCCAGCACCGGCTGCCCGAAGAGACACGGCGCCCACAACTGGGCATTGTGTAGCATGGAATGTGGCCGCATTGTATGGAGAGCTATCGGCATTGAGCAATGCCCCCCGAATACCGCGACAGCGACTCCAATGCCAATGCACCCACGCGCCAGTTGAACCAACCGCCAAGCGGCATCCAGTGGGTGAAGTGGGCACTCTTCTCCGCCGCTCCTCGGTTCAGGCTCCAGAAAATCCAGAGCATTTGGACCCGGGGTTGAACGGAGCCAATATTGGTCGTCAGACGGGGTCTCGGGGGAGGGTCTGCAGCAGGTCACCGGCTTTTCCATGCACTCGCGGCTCGCCTTGCTATGCTACTACTATGCTACCTTATTCTTCAGGGAATCACCCATCACACCGCACTTTAGCTGCAGCTCCAAGCCGCGTTGGCAGTTGCACAAATTCGCACTAACGCTTCAGATTCTCTAACGCGCTGTGCTCACTTCCTGGCGCCCTGCTGCCCTACGCCTGACGGCCGGACCGTACTACAGAAGGTGACTTTTTCTCTCGGTCCTTGGCGATACAATGGTTCAGCGCCACGCAGCTCTTGTGCTCCAGCTGCATAGCTCCAGATGCCGCATGGAGCTCTTTCGCGGTTAGGGCAGGCACTGAACGAAACCGAAATCTCTAGTTCACCATCCAACGAACTCACTGGTCTGGACTTTCTGCTCTGACCACCCACCCAGTCTACCCACCCCTGACCTGGTTCCACCTCGTCCCAAGAGAGGCTCCCTTCCCTGTCTGCTCACTGGCTGATCATCGACCTCAGTGCTATTTCCTCTGGCCAAATTCCAGATTGTCGAGCATCGACGGCATCAAATCAAGACGCACGGAGCTGGGCAATCGAGAACGTCGCTGGCCACAGTGGAGGTTCATCTCAGTGCCTTTGGGGGCCCCTCACCGTCATCTGACAGATCTTCGGCGGCAAATGAGACCTGCCATTATCGAATTCGACGGCTATGAGTTCTGCCCCTCGTGGAGCCTTCTTAGACGCCGTGCGGGAGATGACACTGGCCTTGAAATCGCACTTGGCCACTTGTCAAAGGCCCGCTCTTGAACTGCTCGTCATTTGGATCGTCTCAGATCTGGTCAAGCGGGAGTTATCGCGTCCAATAATTCATATTCGGCGCAATTGCTATCACGCGAGATCAAAACCGCTGGTCTTGGAAGCAGGCCGCATTTTCTAGTGCAAGCAACCTCGTACCAGAGGATGAGTATAGCGCCGAATGGGCGTGCTAAATACAGCACCGTCGATTACCGAATCCAAGGCGCGACGCGACACGATCCGAGGCCCTTTAACCATCACGTCCTTCTAGAAATCATGGAGAGCTCGCGTGACACTTTAGCTCGTTTCCGCAGGAACCCCCTATTGAGTGCAGCGCGCGGGAATATATCGTCGGGAATGCGGCTTTCAGGTGGCCACACCGACTAATGCGGTCAGCGGCGCAGCCTGTCTACTATCAATCATTGCCAGCCTGTCCGTACCTTAGATAGCTCGCTGATGAGGATCTCCAATCAGTGGCCTATCGCTCAGATATCGTTTCTTCCCCCCTATTCCCCAGCAACCGAGAGTCTCTTAGAACTTAGCCAGACCTTCCCGAAGGAAAAGCAGATCAACAGCAAGACGTCCGTAATGATAAACTCACGCATTGAGTCCATGGCTTGGCGTACTCAGCAACGCCCCCAATCGAGATGTCGAGATGAAATCGAGTCAGGCGGCTCAAGGTCTAGCTACTTCTCGCTCCGAGCGCTAGCCCCTCGACTCGAGACGTCGGAACATAGACACAACCTGATGCCGTCTCGCCTCTCCGTTCAGTCCAGAGTTACACGTTTCTGTTGAGCGGTAAGCTGGCATACCCCTGTCTGTTTCCAAAACGTGCGGGACACATTTCAGATCTTCGAACTTGCGACCGTGACAGGCTGATCCTATCCGTAGTCGCTGCGTTGCAGACCGCCCATACTCTGCACCTTACTGCGGCACTCGCAGATCCAATCGGGCCTGAGTCGTCCCTGGGGCGAGACCATCATCGATGTTTCGCAAGACGCAAAAAGCGTTGTTGAAAGCCCTTGGAGGGATTGGCAAAAGGTAAAGTCGACGTTGGCCTGATTCGAACAGACGCTCCCGAAGGAACAAGATTTCTAGTCTTGCGCATTAGACCACTCTGCCACAACGCCGGGTCATTGGATGCTCTAGCACACCAAAATCCACAATAAGAAGGCCAGCAACTCAGACCCTCTCTATTGGTCGCGACCCCTCCGGCTGCTCATCTCTGCGGGGCATCCAGACATACCTTCCGTCGACATGCTTCATCCGAATGACGATCAGGTGGTGTTTGAGGATGCGCTTGATCTTTGACTTTTGCTGATTTGCGTTGATGTAAGCAATTTGATTTTCCGACCTGCTGTAGGTTGTTTCCATCGCCCTATGGTGGAAGGAGTTTAAATTGACGATGTGATGGCGCCAGAGAGCGGGGTCAAGAGTTTAGGGTGTGTTGGTTTGTTCTCGCTATAGTTCCGCTCCCCTTCTGCCCACGTCCAAGTTGGATGCTTTATGCACTTGTTAGACTTTGGGTTTCTTTTGGCGATCTGTTGTGGAAGTTTCGAGATGGAAACTTTTTGAGTGATTGAATCATACTGATTAGCTTCCGGTAGCTTGCTTAACTTTGGGTGATGTTCATCGCAGTTGAGCCAGTCGTTGTTGGGGACTGGCGATGAGGTGTTCGAGGACGAGGTCGTGGCGGTTCCTTTGATTTTATTTGCGAAACCTTGTCCTCTCATTTCTGTTGGTGCAGGTGATAGAGCGTGAGAGCTTGCAGAATCGAACAGTGAACCAGCCCGTCATGACATGTGGGCAAATTGGCTTTATTGGCATCCAGGTCGGTCACCTCCTTTTACTCGGTTTGCGACATGAAGAGACATGCTTCCACTTATATTGATCCCTTGATGGCGAATAGTCGCATACTGAGGCGAATTTAAAGTGCACATGTCGGTGTAAAGAATTTTGCTACATCGGTTTGTGCGTGGTTCTTTCCAAGGTTCCACTCAGCATGGTGCCAACGTCTATATGTCTTTTCCTGCTTTTTATATGATGGAAATCGCTTAGCTGGGTGGTGGCTTTCTCCTGTTCTCCAATCCCAGGTGTGTAATAATTCTGTCCGTAGATTCCAGCTCGTAAAGGAGCCTGTCCAGAGTTCAGGGTTTAGTCAGTTGGCAGTACGGCAACAAGATAGGCGTTTAGTCGTCCGTGATGATCACCCTGTCTTGCTCATGCTTCTTTCGAAGAGACGCACCTACTTGACGTGGCGCATCAGCTTCGGTTAACCAGGAACGCTGGAAGTGATCCCTTTAGTTATCTCGGCCTCTTTCTTGGTATCCTGTGACTGTGCCGGTTGCACCTTCTCACAGGTACGGAGGTGGGTGTAAAAAGGCTGAGGTTGTGGCCACAGCAGGAGTTCTAGAAGCCGACCTCGTGACTACGAACCGTGTCCTCCAGCACAGCCATTACCCGTGATGGCTACTGTAGTGCAACGCCGGGGACAGAGATGTAATCATCATATCCTAGGCTCTAGCAGACGTACTTAGGCACTTCAGTAGAAAAGCAGAAATGTAGAGAAGTTCTCTTCCGTCTACGAATATCTGTCTCTCATTAACGGTTATACGCTGTGGTATATAGAAACAATGGGCGAGACTAGTCTGAAATAGAGTGATTGGACTTGGCAGCGTGCCCGTGGGCACTGTTGGAACTTGGGAGAGAGCAAGCATCATCACCACAACTCTTCAATGGTGCCCAGAGGCGGATGTGGAAGATCATGGACATCTCCCAGGACATCCTGGTGTAGTTAGCTTTCTTCTCTTCTTCGTCTATCGTCTGATGAGTTGGGTATATTTGTTTATAAGCCCGCATGAAAAATGTTTCTTGGATAGGGACCCCGATCTTCTCGCTAATGTTTACGGTATGTCCAGCGGGAATGATTGCCAAGCATACCAACAACCGATGCCACCGGATATTTGCCCTCTCTTTTCCTATTCTGTTTTCATGTTTCTCGTTTTTCATTAACCGAGGCTCGCCCCGCTGTAATTACGATGATTCGGTCTCTCTCAGAGAGTTGCCGACACCCAGCCGAGATGGCGCGTAGAAGACATGATCTCCTTTTGTGGCGTCAGAGACTTCAATTTTCGAGGGTTAGCAATCTCTCAAGGTGGGAGTGCCCTATCCTGAGATACGAGGTGACGTCCTCAAATCTGTCGAAAGACTTTCGTATTCGACAATGGAGCTGCTAAGGATCGTGTAGAAGAATAGTCACCGTGATGAAGTTGCGATACATAGTCTGGACAATCTCAACGATGGCTTGTAGTTTGGGTCATGATTAGTTAGCTTGAATATCTCACCACACCGGCGATCCACGACATCGTAGTAACCAGACTGGCTGGCTTTATTTACTGAACGATGTTATAAATCAAAGAACTGTGGAATTACTGGAAGATCTCTAGCAACATGCTTACTTGCCTACATTTATTGTTCGAAAGCTCAAATTACTCGCACTGAGAGATGAACACCCTGACCTCCTTGTTCCCGCAACACCTTTTCGGCTTGGTAGACATACAGGTTCAAACATCAAGAGCTAATCGCCTTTGGCCTCACCGCGCCTCGCCATCTTCTCGCCCCTTCTACCGGGCATCTTCAAACTCTCTGATGTGAAGAACAAAATTTGCAGCAGCAACGACGTCCGCGTCCTCAGCACGCTCGGCATTTACTCCCCAACCCTTCTGGAATCCGTCTCGTGCGGCTCATACGTCGGTTCATTCTTCGGCGCCGCATCCGGGCTCCGATCATCCTCGGGCCACGGATCATGCTCTTTAGCAATGGCTGTTTCTCTGCTCCACTCGGTCCACTCCTCGTGAGTCGGGTACCGATTCGGATCTGCAGGCTTCTTTATCGTCTCTTCGTGAGTCGGGTACCGCTCCGGCTCTGCATTCTCCTGCTCCGGCTGCTTCGGCATCGGCTCGATATCCACCTCCGGCTCAGGCTTCGGCTCAAGCTTCTTCTCCGGCAGCCTGAACGGGTTCTTCTTGGGCATTTTGAAGGGGTCCCTGTGCGGCCACGACCGGAACGGGTTACTGTCCTTGAAGGTGTTGGGGTCGTTGGGCGGGACCCTCCATTTGGGGTTCTTGAAGGGGTTGTCCGGCTTCGGCCGAGGCTGCGGCCTGTCGAACTTGGGTTTATATTCCCGAGACTTCTCGTAATCCCCCTTGTTGTACGGTCGGGGGTCCTTGGGGGATATGGTGTCCTTGATCATGGGTCTTTCGTAGCCTGGCCACCCAGTCGCTGGCTTCGGCTCTGCCATGGAGGACGGATCGCTGTCGACGTCGAGGCCCTCGAGGTCCTGAGCGAGGGGCTCTGGTTCGGCGGTGTTGAGGTCGGTTGGGGAAGGGGTGATTGGGGTGGCGATGACGGAGAGGGTGGCATAGATGCCGGCGAGGAGGAGGGAGGTACGCATTTTGCGTGTTTGGGAAGTGTAGAGGGAAGTGATTTCAGTTGGTATGGCAATTATATGATGACTTTTGAAGGAAAACTTTTGGGAGTTCTCCCTGGTTGGCGGAGCGATGCAGACTTGTGCTCGCGCCGGGAGATGATATACTGAACAAATCACGTTCAGTGAGAGAACACTCGAGGTGTGGCTTTATATAAGTCCAAGACACGTAACCTTGCGAGTCTGTCAGTTGTTCTCGAGGGGGTATGAAAGGGTCATGATGTCGTTATAGACTTGGCCCTATCTTGACTTTGTGAGATAGCCCCAAGGGTTAGGCCGGAGTTTATATCTTCTGCTGATTTTGTATCATTCTATTGTGCAACAGGCTCTATCTTCTGTAAACTCGGGGGGGCATTATCTATTCTCAGGCACCTTTGGAGGTTTTGCTCCCTTCCTCGCAAATAACTTTAGACGTGGCGTTTACTGCAGCTTTGTTGGGACCTTTATCCGAACCCAAAATCGGTCTCCCATACAAGTTATCGTGGTTAGAAGTGAGTTTGAAGACAACGAAGTGAAATTATCCTGTACCTCTTCAAAAGATGCCTTGCCATCATTTCGAGGAAACTGTAGCGGTCGCTTTCTCGCTTGGTGATGGTCAAAAGTGTCTTGCCCTCAAAAGAGCGATTGAATCCGGTGGTACTGGAGACCCGGCTGATGAATGCCCAGTTCTGCCTATTCATAATAGTTACCTAGAAACGCCGAAGTCTACCTTCATCATGAAACGTGGTGAACTGACGATGCCTTTCTCACATGGCGACGAGAAAACAGTGAGACAACTTCCCAATCGAGTCTGGCGAAGGAAAGGCAAAGCGTTGATACGGCGGAATCCTTCCGGTACGGAGTACGCCACCCAACCTTGATGATAAGCACTAGAATTCCGGGTACCCGCCTCGGCCAACTAACGCGCGGCACATTCGGGAGACGTCAAAAAGGGCCGTCCAGGTCAGCCCATGCGAACCAGCGAAGTTCATTCGAAGCACATCATCGACAACTTTGTTGATGAAATTGTCCCTTGGCCTTGTGGAGCGAACCTTGTTCGGAACCTTATGAGCAAGCCACTCTAGGTCATTCAATGCAGGCTCACGCACCAATGGAAATGGCGTCGCAGAATGCCAATCAACCGGTTCAATCGGGGCCATCGCCTACGGATCCTGACCCGGAAGAGTACCTCAACGACCCCAGATTCCACCAGTCCTTCACCTTACCCCCCGGCACCGACCGCCCGGATCCGTTCAAAGTCACGTATTGCGACTACGGATATCGCAACTTAGACAACCCGGAGCGCGAGCATGTTCTGCTCTTCTGCGGTCCCCTCCTGGGAAGGTAAGCCGATCATCTCACTCACGGATGGCCCCTCGCACATCGCGGCGGCACATCTCATCGTTCAAGGTCTGACAAACACACAGCCGCTACCTCCACATCGCCAAAGACGCCCTAGCAAAGAAACACAAGGTCCGCATAATCCACCCAGACAGACCAGGCTTCGGCGGCACAACCCACGTCGACGCGCCCGACCGCGTCCGCCTCTGGCTCGAAATCGTGCCCGCCCTCCTCGCGCACCTCTCCGTCCGCCACGTCTCGCTGGCCGCCCACAGCGGCGGCACAATCTACGCCCTCAACACGGTCCTCCACCTGCGTCACCTCCTCTCCCCCGAGCGCCCCTACGTGGCCCTCGCCGCGCCGTGGGTCCACCAGTCCCGCTCGGGTGCCGCGCTCATGACGCTCGCGGGCGGGCTGCCGGAGACAGTGCTGGGCGGCTTTCACACGCTCGCCGGGTTCTCGCTGAAGCATGTTGCGCCTGTGGCGGGCGCGGTGAGCGGGGTTTTCCCTAGCATGCAGACTGTGAGCGGGCTGCTGCCTGCGTCGATGCGGACGGGTTCTGCTGCTGCTCCTACGCCTCCTCCTGCGGAAGTGAACCTAATGGCAGAGTTTGAGGAAAAGATTTGGCCGCAGCTTATTCAAAAGGTGTATTCTGAGGATACGAGAGGACTCAGCCAGGACGCCATCCTGTTGCTGAAGAGGGCGGGGCACTCAGATTATTGGGGCTCATGGAAGGACTATGACGAGCTCGTCGCCCTTCTGGCGGAGGCTGAACACAATCTTGATGCTGGCGTCGTCAAGGGCGCTGCAAAGCTCAAGGTTGATGTGTTTTGGGCGGAGGAGGACCAGATGATTGGCGTTGATAAGGGGCCCAAGTGGTTCGAGGATTGCTGGAGAGCTGAGCAGCGCCGTGACGTGATTGAGTTTTCTAGCTGCGTTGTTCCTGGGACTGATCACGATGGTATAATCGAATTGAAGTTTGATGTGTTTGAGAGGATATTCCGTCAGGTTGGCGAAAGTAGCGAGGAAGAAGATTCGGGCCTGCCAGCTGTCGCATAGGATGCGACCGGCTGTACAATAAGAGGCGTTAGCAGAACAATTTTCAACTTCACCCCAAAAAAACAAACTTGTATCAGACATCTTTGTCGCGATGCGGAAGTACATGTCACATATCTTGCTCTAGATTCCTGAACCATGGCCAGTTGGTTGACTAACCAGAATGGCTTTTGAGCCGAGGCTTCCCCAAGATCTGACTTGTGAACTCTGTTCCCCACACATGCCTGGATTTGGAAAAGACATTAGACGAGGTAGACTTTGTGGCAGCCAGCCGAGAAGCCTTTGGAGTAGTCCAGAACTGTCTCCTAAAGTTATCAGGGTGCCGCGAGATTGCCGTTTTCAACCTCGGCAGCCGGTTTGTGGAAGGCGATATTGCAGACTCTATGGAGAAGCCTTTCGCAGTTGATCAAGCTACATTGCGCTCAGAAGGATTGCCGTGCCTTAAGGCCAGACTTCAGAGCAGTTCTTTCCAGCTTCCCTTACGGTAGCGGATTCACATAGTGTACACAGAGTCTCGAATTTCTCAATCTTGACAATCAGCAATACGGACAAAAGATTGATGATCGAAGACTTATTCGCTGCCCCTGCGCGGTGAGGACATGGTTGCAATTCGGACATATAGACCGAGCTAAGCCCTGACTCAAAGATTCGGCATCTCGTGATCACGCGCTAGAGAGAATACATAGTATCCTGGGGCATCGTGCTAGGATAAAGCTCTGGAAGATGTTGGGGTAAATCTTGCCGCACCGCGACGATCTGCGCTCAACTTGTTGTGCCTTCACAGATCCCGAATATTGAACGAGAGCCCATGATAACAGCCTTCACGAACACTTTAGCTCAAGGTCTCCTAGTATGAAAAGATTAAGCACGAGTATTCCAAAGTCCGGAGAACCACTTGCCATAGCCCATGTAATCACGTTTACACCGGAACGTTGAGAGACGTTGCAGTTGGGGAGTCCGAGACAATGCGTTCCCCGGGGTCCCGCCCCTGACGGGGGAAGCCCAGCAGTGTGGAGCTGAACAATGCTAAGCTTCGATGACAACTGTTAATGACCCCGCGGAGTGGTCGCCGGCGGCCCTATCAGACTCCATCAGACCCCATGCGCCGAGGCCCAGTGGAGGATACGGGCCATACCCAAAGCGGAAGCTTCCCCAAGCTCCCCTCTCACCTCAACCCCGAACACCAAGCTCATGAAAGTCGAGCTTACTCCGACCTCATTTCAACTCACCTCAACTCAATCCGTCCCACCCTTCATCATACGCCACTTACCAAGCCATACTTTACCCAAACCCATCCGCCTCTCAGACATTCAAAGGATTCAACACAAGAAAAACGAACTCAAACTCACACCGTGTGTGACATCAAACACACTCCAACCACCACAATGCCGCCAACTACACTCACAACCCCCCTCACCCTCCAAATCCCCGCGGAACCCCTCACACGCACCGCCTTCGCCCCCTTCGGCGACGTGATCGAGAATCCTCACCCGGAAGTCCGCCCCGCCGCCTCTCTCCCCGCCACCGTATCCGCCTCCTTCAGCGCCGTCTCCGCAAACCAAGGCACAGCCATCAAATACCAAAACGTCTCCTCCCCTCTAGACCTCTACCCCCAGGCGCCCTCCCGCGCCGGCCGCCCCATAGTGAGCATCTTCTCCTGCGCCGCGCGGCAGCTCGAGCCCGCCGCACCCCTGGCGCAACCGCCCATTTCGACGCTGCTGCCGTATACCTACGCCGGTCCCAGCAGGGGCGGACGCTTCAGAGTCAGCGTGCTGGAACGACACCCCTTCACGACGCAGACTTTCGTCCCCTTTTCCGCTTCTTCGTCGGTAAGCGGCGCGGCGTACCTCGTCATCGTGGCACCTACCCTCCCGACACCCAGCGCGCAGACGGATTCCCTCCCGGCGCCGGCCACCGGCGGCAAAGGCAGAGGTCTCCCGGACATCAAGGGCCTCAAGGCCTTTGTGGCGTCCCCGGGCCAGGCCGTGACCTACGGTGCGGGAACGTGGCATGCGCCCATGGTTGCGCTGGGACCGCAAGGTACGGCGATCGACTTTGTCGTGACGCAGTTTGCGAGCGGCGTGGGCGTGGAGGATTGTCAGGAGGTGGAGTTTGCGGGCGCGGGTGAGGAGGCGGGTATCGTGGTGCAGGTTCCCGAGAGGATGCCTGTTGTTGCGAAGTTGTGAGCAGAGCGGATGGGAACTGAGAGAAGCTTTTACGGCGAGAGGGGGAGCGGCAAGTCAAGGGCTGGTGTGAAAGGCGTCCTGGGTCGGCGAGGCGATGACGATGGTGATGGCTGTTGCGTGTACGATGTCTGTTCAGCAAGGGAAGGAAACCCAGCCCGAGTCTGCCTGGGCATGTTGAAAGAGTGCAAGGTGGCGCCTCTGAATGACTGGGCAAAGGGGCGGTTAAGGTCAAACAAGCTAGAAATGCCATCAAATTGGTCATGATCTCACGTAGAGGTGGAAGGTCATGAGGGTATGAAACTTCACACAGTCACCAAGCCATGCCGGGCAATTCTTGCTTCTTGGCTCTCTCCATCACGCCGTAGATAGGCGATTGAGAGTTACGCGGAACGTCGTTTTGGTGATCAAATGATCTTTAGATATTTTCTGTGCTACCTTGTCAAACTCGAGCCCTGCAAACAAACCAGATCCGTTCCACTCGTCCGATATCCGCCTCCCACCTTCGGCCGGTCCAAACGTAATGTACTCAAACAGCATTAAGAGTCCCCTCTGAAAACAATTTGCCAAACTTCACTCTCCAAACCTCCCATTCCAAACCTCCCATTCCAAACCTCTCATTCCAAACCTCTCATCTCGAATCTCCCTCTCCCAAACCTCCCGAACTGAGCAAATTCGAAAGTCATCGGCCTTGCCGAAACTCTGGTAGCGTGAATGAGACAGAGCCTGCTTTATCAGACTCTTGCAGTCGATGCATCGATATCCTGGGTTGCTATTCACTTCTCGTACTCCTCGAATTCCACGGAGCGTAGAAGCTTCTCAGCCGATGCCATCTCCAAGTATGGACGAAAATAGAGAGGGAATCTCGGATCCTTCTCTCCATCCTCAGTGACCGGGATAAGAACGCGTCCATCCTCACCAAAGTTGCGGATGCGGTTGCCATGACGCTTGTTAAAGATATCAAATTCAAGCGTAGCCGGGGTGATGAAGTGATAGACGAAGACGGGACGCTTCTGTCCATATCGAATGAGACGTCCCTTGGCCTGTCTCATGTACATGTCGTAGCTGTCCGAGTCTGTAAACAGAACTCCGGCAAATATGAGATGGTTCGCCTCGGTCAAGTTTGTGCCAGCGGACTCCGAAGACATGAGGCTTTGGATCAGAACGGCCTTTCCATGGTGCGCCTTGAATGCCTCAATCTGATCCGAGTCCTGATCGCCTCCATCAGTCATGTAAACAGCAAAGCCGTTGTCGTTGCGAATGAGGTAGTTGTAAACCTCTTTCTTGATGCCCGCATACGCAGCAAAGATCAGGACCTTCTCGTCATCAAGGACATTGTTGAACATGACGTTGTCCATGTCGGATACCTTGGCACTGGGAACGGCCGAAAGATCGTGCTGCAGATTCGCGGGCGTGGCAAATATCTCGTTAGGGACAAATGACCCGCGACTGAAAGCCTTGCAGCTTTGCATGGGGCACATTTGACCCCCAGCCTCAGTGAAAGCGCCAAAGCAATCCTTGCAAAGCGAGTGACCGCATGCAATAGAATGGAGCATGTCAGAGTTGGCAGCAACACGATCACAGACGTTGCAGGTGGCAGACAGCGGGCTTTGGCTTCCATGAAGAACATGGTTCAACTTCATCAGAAACATACAGCGCCGCCACGCCTCCGTCGTGAGCTTGATGCCAGCCTGGACGCTTTGCACAACCAAGATGAGAGTGTTTAAAGTCTCGTCAATGCCCTGTCCACGCGGTTTAATCGTCTTGCCCTTTTGTGGTCGGTGAGCTGGAATCTGAATGCCGAATTCATAGTCGTCCTTGGTCGCTTTTCCATCGAGATGCTTTTGAAGTTGAGACGCCATGTCGCCAGTTTCCTTCAGTCCGATAGCCAAAGCCATTTCCTCGCATTTATCCTGGCTGTCCTGCTCTTGGCGGATGAGCTCGATGAGCGCCTCTCGGTTATCGATCTGGCCACCGCCAGAGCCAACCCACCGGTTCTGCAAGCTGTCCAATTCACCATCAGACAAATCGTGATCCGAGTCGAGAAGCCACCAATTGGCAGAATTGTACGTTCCAGGGCCACCCATCCACTCGGACCAATACTTGCAGTCCCAATAGTTCTCTCGAGTAGGGATGTAATCCGAGCGGATCGATTTTCGGTGGACGATTGCATCATGGAGATAGTTGATGAACGCACTATCATCAGAGTTGCCGTTGGTGTTCCTCATGAAATCGAAGATCTCCTCCATATGACCGAAGTAGGCATCTTTTTTAGCTTTCCCACTGCCTACATCAGCGTCTTCGGAAATCATATTCGCCAGGTACATCATTTTGTCAAAGAGGGATACTAGAATCCGGGTGCAACGGGCAAGGTGAGCACAAGCTGCAGCAGACGCTTCATTGCCGAGACACTCGAGAGTCAAGTTGGCCTTGGGTTCTGTCCACCCCATGCCCTCGAAGCCCTTTCGGCCGGAAGAAACGGACAACGAAGACAGGAGGAGTAACGCGTCGACCGCATCCGACCAGATAGATTTTCCGGCAGCCTTGACCTTTGAACCGGCGCTCTGGGCCATTCCTTCATTCAAGATAATGCGGAGGAAAGTATCAAGACCACAGGGCATGCCATCAACGTCCCACTTGGCATCATGAAGAGCCTGCTGTACAAAATTGTATACCAAGGCTTCTTGAGTGTTCATGGGAGTCAAGCAGGCGACCTCGGTTATTTCAACACCTTGAATCTCCGTCTTGTTCTTCCGCAGGTAGTGAAGAAGGAATTTCTGTCCCTGCTCATGGCGATCGGCCGCAATTTGAGCGGACAAGGGCTCTGTGTAGCTGCGGAATGTTTCGGCGTCAGTCAGTTCGGATACCTTGGGCCCAGCCGTGACATTGGGGAAGAATCCTGGCATTGATGGTGTCGGTCGCGCAACATGAACATTGAGCAACGTCGCAGTCTCGCAGATCTGACCGAGGTTGATGGTAGGCGGTGTACCTGAGAGGATCCATTTCGAGGACGCGACAGCGTTCTGAAAGAAGGTTGCAACGGATGTGTTCTCATACGAGAACTCGTCAAAGACCACGCGGCAGTAAGTGTACATTTCAAGTACCTCGCCATTCTGGAACGCCTCCTTCACATCAATGGTGACGGCCGCCTTGGGCTTTGCTGCCTTGCCCTTCTTCTTTTTGGGTGTCGCCTTGGCGGTCTGTTGCGTCTTCCGATCGCTAGCTCCCACTGTGTTGGCCGCGGCCATCCGGACCCAATCATTGCTGATGGTGCGGCGGCCTTGAATTCTCGCCTCGACATGCGCATTGTTCGGGTTGTCAGGGTTGCTGTGGTCATAGGCGGCATGCTTGATGGTTTCAACCACTTCGTAATGCCAGTCCTGGGAGTCTCGGTTCGATCTCTTCTGACGGATTGATGGCATTTGGGCGATTGCAGCGAGCTTGTCAATGTTTTTCTCGGAAGACATCAGGGTGCTGCTGACAATGATGATGTCTGCTGCTTCCATGCTCTCCCGTGAGATATCAGTCGTTTTGGTGAGCACCAGAACTCTGAGCTGACGAACAAATCTCTTAGCTTCTTTGGCCCACTGCGACACGATGTGAGGGGGCACGATGACCAAAGTGGCCTTGATGTGGATGAACGCCGTGGTTCCCAACCACTGGGAACGCTCCAGAATAGAAAACTCTGCATGCATTGGAGTGGTTGTATAATCAATAAGACCAAGTGTAACTATAGTCTTGCCGTAGCCGATGTCGTGTGCGAGGACACCTCCTCGGGCATAATTCTCAAGCTCTGCAACAGTACTTAAGCGTACGTTCACAGATGGAAGAACACGCTCCTCGAATTCCCTTTCAGTGAACGGTTCGTCCTTTTCGCGGTGCCTCATCCACTGACAAGCCTCGACTTGATCTTGTCGTAGCATCATTCCATTCTGCAGAAAATGGGGCGGCTGAAAGAAGCCCCCGGGAGGATAGGGTCCTGCCTGAACAGCGCCCATGCTGTTCTTGAAGGGGGGCAACCCCTTCAGGCTGGGCTCGAAGTAGTCCATTTCCACACGGAAATTGCTACTCCCGCGAGTTGAGCGGACCATCGGCGACATGATGTCCTTGTCGACCGGGAAGTAACCATGCGCCCGGTGCGCGAGCGACGCTGGGTTGAGCAGAATCCTCATGCTCAACACGTTGTATCCATCAGCTTCACTCGGCTCCAGTCGGGCCTGAATCTCGAGAGGAGCTGGTCGTCGCAACATAGCCTGCTCCGCTTGAGTCGCCACTGCCTCGTTCTCGATTCGTACAACGCTACCATCCGCATCCCAGTGATGAAGGGGCTTTGGAGCGGTCGGCGAGCATCTGTGGCACGCATCGCCAGAATCCAGCATGATGTCACCGACTGTAAGAAGTTCAGCAAGTGCAGAGGCCGGCAATTTGTTGATGGCAGAAGACGCCAGTGCCAATACATCCTTGATCTCATGCTGGGCAATCGTGAACCAAATATCGGGCGAAGCTGAAATGCTGTTTGTACCGGAAGGGGGAGTCAACTGGGCGAGGAGCGACTTGACTGGAAAGTACATGTTGGTTTTGTCCAATTTGATAATTATGGACGGGATCGAAGATTGACAGTCAATGTCCCTGGAAGCCTGCTCTTGCAAATCGATGAGACTAATATGGAGGGCTGGATCACGCTCGTGAACGGTGATACCCAGGGCAGGTGGCAGAGGCGTGTACACGCCAGGCAGCACGGCCGTGATTCCAGAGCCCGGAGGCTGTCTCTCTTGATGCTTGAACCCTTGAGGGAAAACGCAGATGATGTCTCGCACTTGATCCGGCTCAAGCTTTCTAGGGTTCTTCGTCAAGACCCATCGGTCGGTTTCGGCAGCTCCATTGCAGTTTGTGTGGAGCATCATGTATACAGGGCTGAGAGGATCGTTCTTGGTGAAAAGGAGTCCCAATGGGGTTGCGCACTTATCTGTAAAGTGGTAATAACCGTTGACGACACTCGTGATTTCGTTGACTAGAGAAGGTGCAAGACCGTTGACTTCAACAAGCTTCTGGTTGAAACCATCGATCCTTCCATTATTGGCGCGTTCTTGAACCAGATCCACGTTGATTTTGCGTTGGACAAACAGCTTCTAGCTGTCTGCCGTAGGAGTGAAGTCCGCGTCAAGGTCGGTGAGTACTGCTTCCAAGAGAGGCTGGCGGAGGTCGTAACCTAGAACAGTCAACTGAACTGCCACTTCGCTGGCTGGGATATCGTTCCGAATCGATGGGCGCCCGAGTTCGACATAAACGGGTCTCAGGTGCATGCTCCACGTAACGTTCTTTTCGGTGATGACAATGATGATGGTTGACTTTTCGGATTCGTAAGTCACAGTCAGGTCGTCTCTGAACTTGAGGTCCGTCTGGTAGTAATGAACTCCGCCTGCGCACGTCTGGATTGCGCGGTTCAAGGCCTCGATATGGTCGCTGAAAGTCTGCTTGTCGAGGTCGTGGAGAATATCAACACTGTGAGCGGTATCGGCACCTGCCCAATCGATGTAGAGATGAGCTGGCAAAGCAGCAATCGCAAGCTCTTGAGCCAAACTTCTGCCGATTGATACCTTGTCGTTGATGGGGTTGGCCCTATCAAAATTGTGATCGGGATTTCCGGCACAGCTTTGGCAGCGCGTCTCATTGCAGTCCTTGCATCGCAAATAAACACCGGTGTGTTGATGCTTGCGGAAGGCGTCGCAGCGACATTTTCGGCATCCATTACGGCAGAGGGTGCAGAAAAACTCAACTGACTTATTGCCGTCCCAGCCGGAGGAGACGATCTCCTGCCAAGCCATCTTGTTGGGAGTGGTTGCCGAGGCAGAAAATGGTTGATCGATTTCTTTTCCTTTTCTGCTGGAAGATGTGTGGGTTTTGCGTCCAAGGGAGGAGGTGTCGACGGTAAGAAAAGAGTCTGAGAGATCGGAAGGCCCGGCCTCGTCAGTCGAGGTGTGAACAACGACGCTGCTAGGCAGCAGCTGGGTGGGGTTGGCTTGGGCAAGACCCTGCAAGTGCCTGTTGCTTGCCTTCGTCTTGAACCTGAACTCGGCAATGAGGGCACAGAGGATAGCTGCACCAGCCACGGTGGTCGTCATCGCGTTTCCGGCAAGGTCCTTGAGCTGGTTTTCCCCCTCGACCGAAAGCGAGATGCGGTCAATGGGAATGCCCTGCACAGCGAGACACTCTAGTCCGAGAAGAGGACGGCCGTCGTACGAGATGAAGAGATCAGCCGAGGGAAGAACACACGGAATGACACCCAGCCTTCCGCTTTGTCGATCCACGTTCTGTCCGACGTCGAGGATGAACATCTTGTGGGTAAAGTCATACCCCTTCTTCTGCGCTCTCAGGTATTCGATATCCAGGAGATCTTGCATTCGCCAAGTGTACACTGAGATGACGCCCTGCCAGGTGTCCTCGCGGGGCTGAACATTACCTCTATCATCCATCCGAGTATACGGGTTCGACGTGCCGAGCTCTTCCTTTCGACGTGCCGACCTGTGATCAGCTGCACAATGAACAGCCTCGACGTCCCTCTTCGGCTTGGAGAGCAGCGTCCGTTCCAACTGAAATCGAGTCTGAAGCACGCGCGGATCAGACGGGGGAAGCAAGAACTTCTGGAGGTCAGGCGGGTTCTTGAACCACTGCGTAATATCCATGAGCTTGACCCATGTATTAACGATCTCCTTGGCCTTGTTTCCATAGTAGCGAGCATCCACTCCGAGTAAATATTTTCTCTGTCTCGTTTGAGGGACCAAGAAGTTCTTGGAGTCGACTTGGACATACGCCGCCACGTATCCGATGCTTGGCAGCCAGAAGTCCTTGAATTGGTCCCACGGAGCCCTTGTAACATTCTCCAAGATGACGATCTTGGGTCGATGGGCGTGGGTGTACATGAGAATGGACAGGAAAGTCTTGGTTGATTCTCCCTTCTCATCTTTGATGCTTTCGAAGATTTGTTGAAGGCCATCGACAACTTGACTGGCCATCGGGTCGTCTTGTTGAATGGCTGAGATGCCCCTGGCCTTGAATTGCTCGAAAAGCTTGTTGAGACCGGACTTCTTCTTTTTGTCGTTCTTGGCGTAATTCAGGCTCGAAAAGTCGACGCAAGAGCTTCCAGCAATGAGGATGTCGATTCCTAGAGGGATATCGGCCATGGCTCCGGAAGCCGTCATACTACATTACTGTCAGTACATGAAAGAACGCTAGTGAGAGGTGAAGAATTTACGCCTGAGTAGCTCCGGGCATGCCAACGTCGACGACATTGCGAAAGATCGGGCCTGAAGGAGCCGCATTGCGACCAATGAAGGCTTGCTTGAACGGCTCGATCTCAACGCTGAAGACATGGTTGTACTGAAGGAGTCCCGGATAGCCGCAGGCGGTGGCCGCTTCAACGAACTCACGCAAAGCCAGGATGGGACCATCCGTGCCGGAGCACATGGTCGCAATCCTGAACGACACGCCGCCGGCATTGAGGAGCTTATTCAGGCCGAGCTTCAATGCCTTGTCGAAGATGATTGGAAAGGCGTCGCGCGGGCGGTTCACAGATCGCTCATCCATGACCAGAACAGGCACTGCTTGATACATGGCGGGCTGAGGTGTGAACTGTGCTTCGGATTTTGAATTTCCTGAGGCGAACTGAGATCCAGAAGGTGAATGGGTTGAGAAATTCAAGCCAGGTGTAGAAGCTGTGTGACGCGGTATCACGTGAGTATGAGAACCCACGTGAGGCGAATATACCGACGGATACGCAGAAACCTGCGGAGACTCAGCAGTCAAGTGAGAAGCCATGGGGGCAAGGCTATCACGTAGTCCCTGCGAGGAAGAGCCACCGTGTTGGCCACCATAGTAGTTTTCGACCGGAGGTTCGACTGGAATATAGGATGGAGAGCCCTGGTTGAAGCCTTGACTGTGCATCAAGTCCTGGTTTTGTTGATCCATAGGGTCATGGAATTCGTCGTTCTGGCTGAAGGTCTGCTCAGATGGTATCAGGGATTCAATATGTTGGCGCCGCGACTCAATCCCATTCTCGTCGATGTTGCGGTAAGTCGCGATGAGTTGGCCATTGCTGTCGTATTCTTGGCTGAAGAGGAACCAGAACCGGCCCTCGTTATCAGCGTAAAATCGCCCCATCGCGGCGTGACCAGTGTCGGGCCCATAGGTGAGATGATCAGCGTTTTCAATGTCGCCTTGAAGACCAGAATCATTGCGAAAGTTGTCAGCCTGTCCGGTTTCTGGGAGAGCTGCCGTGCCTAAGCCCTGGTCGGCCGGACCGTTTGGAGGAGCGAGGGGGGGCATCCCCTCGAAACTCGTGTGGAAGTTGATACTCTGCTCGGAGCCCGTGGAAGCAAACAATCCAGGATCTCCAAGGTGAGCGAGGAGATCTTCAAGGTCAGGGAGATCTTCAAGATAACCATCGCCAACCTGGTGGTTTCCGTGTTGTAGATCGTCGTCATTAGGCCATCCATCGTCGAGATCAGGGCCAAGGATGTGCGCGGGATCGGTATCCGGAAAAGGATTTCCCTGCTCATCTTGGCCAAAGGGAAAATCCATATTTGCGAAAGAGCAATGAGCTGACAGCGGAGAAGTCTGCCACAGGAGGACTTTTCGGGTAGTGAAAGACGATAAGGGGAAGCCTGAGTAAAGCGGTCAATTGAGGTTTGGACCAACGAAGAGACACAGCAAAAAAACCCCCAAAATCAGCAGAGTTTGATGATTTTTGAGGGCTTCTGCCAATATCGACGATGGAACAAAAGTAAGAAGAACTTTGTCTGGTTTGGTGTGTGGCAGAAGCTGGCAAAGTGATGAAGCTCAGTAAGAGTGATGAGAGTGATGAGAAGAGGGAAGAAGAGAGGTAAGTGGAAAGTGGAAAAGTTTGAGGGAATTTTCCAGGCTCAAGGAGGATGGAAGAGTCTTTGTGGGAGTCCCCACGAAAAGTCATGTGCTCTCGCCTTCGGAGCGGAGAAGAGGGTTAGACTCAAGAAGGCGGGTGCCCTCGACCCTTGAAGCTATTCGGGGCGGGAGCTTTCCCCTGAGGACGTCTTAACAAGGCGAGTGCCCCTGAGGAGGGAGACGGGAACATTGTGTAAGAGGCTCCGCAAAAACTCGTCGAGGGCTGGCCTCTCTTCGTGATGAGAGGAACTTGCTTGACAAGGCGGGTGCTCCCCGTCTTGGTGGCTCTTGATGGCGAGAGCTATCACTTGATAGTTTCCTAACGAAGCCATGGCCTTTCAAGAGGAGTCCCTTGTTGAACTGTCCATTACATTCTGGAGACATAGTGTAGCTTTGGGTGACGGACAATCAGCTCTGTCTCAAAGAAAGAGAGGCTTCTGCTCAAGGGTGTGGGCGGTGCATCATCTATGTACATCTTAATGAGAGTATGACCAGAAAGGATATGGCGAGAGACAGGGCACTTGGAATGATTCAAAATCGACGTCAAGTTCGGATAGACCCTCCTTAACTTTGCCATGACATCCTTGCTCAGCAAAGGAACTTTTAAGTCTTTGCAGTCTAGGCGAGTGCCCCTGAAAGAAAGATAGTTTGATGCCTTCCAGTCAAATCTGTCTCGACATCCTCTGCCCTGTCACGGACCTGTGATGGGCAATCAAGGTGAGAGCTACTCGCAGAGCCTTTCTACCTGACAAGAAGACCGCGTTGAAGGGCAGAAGAAGAAATTAAGAGGCAACTTTCTATTCAGAATGAACATTCTCATTGTTGAAGGTGCGGCACCCAAGACTAGAACTGATGATGTTGTGTTGAAGGCACGTCTTTGAGAATTTGTTGGTTCTGGTAGTCAGCGCATACAAGAATGGGACCACTCAACATCTTCAGAGCAAAGTATTGGCCTTCATCTGAGCACTGCCATAGTTGATGAGGACGGATTTTCTAAAGAGGAGCTAGGATTGGGTAGTTGGGAGACTCAGACACTCGCTAGAGTGTCTCTTCAGTGGCGCAAGAGATTATCATCTCGGAAAGGCTCTTCCGAAATGGTAGGTCCTATGTTTGCGTAATATGCCCAGCGTTTTTCTCGATAGGACTATATCAATCCAAGACTTGGAGCTCACTAGATGACGGAAGAAAGGTAGAAAGGGATGGTTCATTGTTGATGTTTGATTTGTACATTCCATCAGGTGTTGCAAACGATGAGTGAGTAACGAAAATGATCACTTCGACTACTAGGCCGATGGCGAGAGAAAGCTACGAATATAGAGCCACATTGTATGCAATTTTCAAACGTAGGTGAACTGACCTTTGTCCGCCAATGCCATATTCAACTTTGACGGCTTATCATAGTAGTCATACTCATAGCCATATGAAAAGAGTCATTGAAGGGAGGCTGACTTCTTCCAGCTATTGTGGAAGCCAGAAACAAATTTACACATGGTAATAGGGCTTTGTAGAATTATCTAGTTAGAAACAATGACACGTCTATCCAGCGAGGAGCGAGTGATGTTTCGTGGAAATAGTCATACGTGAAAGGAGAAAGGTAATGGAGGAGACAGATGAGAAAATGGGGAAAGGGGTGTGGGAGTGATGATGTCTTCGCTCTGTACTGAAGTCGTCTCGCATGTCCGTAATTCGGGCATACTAGAAAACGAACAGGACCCCGAAGTTCTTAATTTCTAGTCGTGAAATTGGAGGGGAAAAAAACAGAGGAGAGAGAAGTGTATGCATACGCACCTGGAGTCTGGCCATCCAAGCCCTCCACTTCGAAGGTCCGATACCATTCTCCCAGACTACGGCGTGTACAAAAGCGTCCCAAACGCCACTAGAGCTGCGACCTGCAATGCTCTGCAGCAGAGATTGAGCATTTGCCCCCGGCCTGAATCATTAGGATGAAGACAAACGTGCGATCACAACTTCATCAGGTGAAGGTAATAGCATGCTCCACAGTGAACTCGTCTGCAATTCAGAGGCCTGAAGTCAAAACAAGATGAGCCCCAGGGGCAACAACATACCCGATTGGCCATGGCATCGCGGGAGGACTCCATATCATGTGACCCCACACTGAGTGTGTCTGGCTTAGTCATTAAAAGCAGTCTCCGCCGGTGACCGACGGCACCCATCCGTCTCTCCGTCCGTAATTGGTTCGCAGCTCAGGTGCAGCTGAAGGGCGTATTGATTGGCGGTGACGACAACCTCACTCTTCAGCTACCCAGGTTCGTCAACGGCTTTAGTCCTTATTCGACTCACCGGGACTCAATACGAAGTCCAGTCTTGGCGCTTGACCTATTCTGTTCGCGTCCACTATCCGTTCTCTTTCCGCTTTTCGTCTAAGCCTCGTTCTTCAGAATACCTATATTCTCGTGTCTTTGTCTATCTGTCTGAGACTTGGGGAAATATCTAAGTGACACTACATTCCAAAAACACAACCTCCAAGACATTCGACATGGGCTCTGAACTCGTCTCTACCGATGCCAAGAACAAGTTGGAAGACTTGTCTGGCATCACGATCCTGCCCGGTCAAAATCCATATGAAGCCTTCATTAAAGCTTGCAATGATAACCCAGTAAAGTTCAACCTCCAATGCAAGCCTGTAAAAAGAGAGCCTCCAAATCTGATGAGTGACAATTCCGTAGGCAGAGATCCAGGCTCTTTACCAAGCTCACAGAACGAAGAGGAATGAGCAGCAGAAGCAAAAGTTTATTGCTCCCGACTTCAAGGAGCTCATTATTGACCCATTTCTCCTGAGATTGGAAAATCCAGAGATGGAACCGGGCTTCCAGGACCCTCGCAACTGCTTGGTCTTTTGGGCGCGGCCGCCGGATCACATTGTGCAACTTTCGGCTCATCTGCAGTCTTTGCTTAAGAAGGCCGCACCGAGTGAGGCCCCTAAACAGTGCAACTATGAGAATCATTAGAGACCCCCTTGACTAACACGGAGAATCTTCAAAAGGTATCTGGCTCATGCCCCAACACAGAATGCACCTTACAACCCTCGAGGTGACGCACTCCAAGACGCCCGAGGAGATCATCACTCTCACGAATAACATGCGCTCGGCGATCCCCTACATCACGGACTACACCTACTCCCACAGGTCCCGTCTCGTAAGACCCATGATCTCCTACGACCTCTCCGCCTTCGCCGTCTCCTTCCTCCCGGCTTCTGGCGAGCCGCCCCTGAGCCCGGCCCCGGCGCCGACCGCCCAGCAGCAGGCCGTCGTGCAAGGGGACGACTACACGTACCACCACCTCCGCCGCGACGTCTTCACTCTCGCGCAGTCGTCGGGCGTGCAGATCGAATCGAGATACCAGGTGCCGAGCGCGCACATCACGCTGGGTCGGTACCTTACGGAGAAGGACCACGATACGCCCGAGGCGAGGAAGAAGTGGGTTGAGGCCATTGATGAGATCAACGCGTGGCTCGAAAAGGAGGTTTGGGATCGTCCGGGTGCCGAATGGATTGGGGAATGGGTTGTTGGGCAGGAAAGAGGTTTGGATGCCCGTAATGGACAGCTGTGGTACGGAGGCGGGAGGACGATCAAGCTAGGGGAGGGCTTCTGAGACGGAAACCTGGCTGGGCGCCTCGGCGCCTGGGCGTGTTGCAGAAACGAACTCTCGATCTAGATGAGGGATAGACGGCATGGCGGTGATGACGCGGCGGATCTGGTTCACATTGGACAAATAGATGGGATGGGAGTTGAACATGATAACGTTATTTCGTGACTCAGTTATGTGATTGACCGTTTGAGCCTCATAGAAGGCATCTATCTTCTAGCGACCACAGATTCGGGAGCCTGGGCATGTCTCAACAGGGACAAGTTCATCCCACCTCGAGTGTGATCACCACCCTCAGGACAAACCGTTTGTCGAGTTCCCACGCATTCCGCAATTTCTCTTGTCACTTGTTTTTCTTCGGTTGTGTGGTCTCTCTAAGCGCGGGACAGCAGGTGAGGGGTGAGAAGGGGAGGGAAGCTTGATGAATTGCTTTTGGTATCCGTTCGCAAGCAAGGGCTTTTATTTGTTCCCTATGTAGAGTTCCTCAAATGAGAACTGGTAACCCTCTTCGCCGCCATTGTTCCAGCCTGATGATGATCCGTGTGCCGTGAAAGGAGCCATAAAAGTCGGTCGACCGAAAACACAATGCGTTTAGAAAACGAGGGCAGCACCCTTGGTCTTCTTGTCACCACTATGAGGGTTGTCAGTATATGATTCGAGATCGCGTTTGTTAGATAGGGGATGATATCATACCCCAACTCGAAGTGCTTGCAGCGCTTCAGGGCGAGCTGGAGCTTGGTCTTGCACTTGATGCACTCCAACCGCAGGACAACCTTCTTGGTGGTCTTAGCCTTCTTGTGGAAGACAGGCTTGGTCTGACCACCATAACCGGACTGCTTTCGGTCGTAACGTCTCTTTCCCTGCGCGAACAGCGAGGCCTATATCAAACAACCGTTTAGTGAACCGTCCGGATCGTGTGGCGAGAGTGCGTCGCTAGGATTCGGTCGTCGCGCGTGAGCGTCGTTGGACATACCTTGCCGGCCTTGTACTGGGTGACCTTGTGCTGGGTGTGCTTGCGGCACTCCTTGCCCTTGCAGTAGGTCATACGCGTCTTGGGAATGTTCACTGCACCCAAAGTCAGCCTCCAATATCCATCGTCAAGACTAATTCCATCTCGCAAAATTCATGTGCCATTGCCGCAGCCGGATCGATCCCCGTAAAGCCTGAATCCTCTCCCTCGAGCGCTGCCCTTTTGCCGAATGTCGTTGTGCGTTCGTATCGATATTCGGACAGCATCCCCCCTCCGTTCCCAAGTAATTTTTGTCGATCGCGAATCGGCGGCGACACAACGGTCGGCGAGGGTGGCATCCTTCTCTTTCTCGAATCGAGTCCGACTGCTGGTAATGACACCCAAATAGCATAGCATTTCATTCTAATAAGGACTTACCCATCTTGGCGGCTGTTTGTCGATTTCGCTTGCCGGAGTGTCGTGACGATGAATTTGTCGGGGCCGGCGGGGGGAAGTGAAATTCAGTCGTTTTGCTGAAAATGTCGCTTGTGTGCGGGTAGGGCAGGTGCACGCTAAGCAATTTCCGCTTGCAAGACTGGTGTGGCTGAGGCGAGGTTCAGCCTCAATTCCAGGCGATCGGGCTGTCACACGTGACTTAGGTCGGATCATGAGGCTGGAGCTGGCCACAGCTGAACCCAGCTGGCTACCTTGTAGGAACTTGGTCAAATTCCCGGCCCCAACTCACTCTCTGTCATTACCTATGCACGCCGGGCCTTTCTTTCGCTGACGGACAGAATTTCTGCAAGTTGCAGCTACTAACCAAAGTTCACCAAACCTTCGATTGAGCTGGCGAGAACAAGCCTTTCGTACCTGTTGAGCCTATTTACTCTACGAGGACGCGACTGGCCGATGACTAAGAAGTTTCTACATCGTTTCCCGTCTGGATCTCCCTGGCTAATGGCGCTTGACACTTCCGTCTTCGCTCCTCGCGTTTCCCCCATAACCTTGTGGTGAAAAATCGACGAACCGTCCAAACACCGAAACACACGCCGTTCAGATCTAGGGCGAGCGTAGTGATCTTGGTTAATCCATCGCGCGTCAGAATAGTGTTTCCATGATAGACACGCAATCCTCTGTTTCGATCTCGCCCTATCTGGAAAGTCCCAACTCACTTTGCGACTCGGACGAGTCATGGCCGGCGAGGACAGACAATCAGACTCTCAACAGACTCACGAAGACCAGCGCCGGGACCTGGCCTATGCCCCCTCCCTTCTTCGACTCGACAACCTTCCCGCCTTCTTCCCCTCCAACCTGAACTTCCTCACAACTCTCGCCCGTCCGCCCTCCCGAGGCTTTCTAACAATTTCAGCTGACAGACGATGTCATCGCACCATCGCAGATATACCCCCGCTGTCACTGGCACCCGTGGCCAGAACTGACGTCACTAATAATCCAGCCTTTATTTTCCATTAAGCCCAGCTTGGACCTTGCGAGGCGTTCTATTCGAAGCTCAAAGGGAGACAGTTTCGGAAAAACTCTACCATCAATCAGTGACGCGATGCCTCTACTGTACGGCTCACGCAGGCCCAGGTGTCACTTGCCCAGCATGACGCATATTGAACACTATCCATGAGGCTCGGGAATTATCATCGTGGTTTAATCCAAACCAACCTGGTATGCCTATTCAGGCTTCCTGGTCCACGCGCGAAAAGGTTAGTTTAATTGCTTCACGACGAACACTTGACCTGGGGAGAGCTCGGTCGAAACCCATGATGGCATCCCGTCGATGACGGCGGGCCCCTAGTCTCGACGACTAGCCCGAATAGGATGCTAGAAGCCCGTCCCTCACCCTTCATGGCCTCCAAGTTTAAAGAACATCAATCAATTTGACGGGCGGCAGGGCGGCAGATTAACGGCTTCGGCACACTATGGCCAACCTGTTGTCCTTGAGTACTTCTAAATCCGTGTCGACTGTTCAAGCCGTGGTTCTCATGCCATTACTTGGGGCAAATATGATGGCTCAGATTGTTATTGATCACCAGCTACTGCAGGGGCGATTCTTTGTCAGTGCTTTCAATCCTCGCCAACGAGGAACGCATAGACCTCGAGATGGCAATACTACTCTTGCAAATAGAAGCACAGGGTCCAGCGGAAGCCAAGACAGCTGAACAGCCGGAGTGCATACGGATGAAACTTCCACGGCAATGAGGTAGAGAGCCTCTTGGTGTTCTCACCGTATAGTTCAGGATCGGATTGCATGCCAACAGGTCACGCATTCCCACCACCTTACAACGATACTGACCGGACGAAATAAGATCGAATTGAAAGCGAGACCCGACTGAAAGGGCGTCCGCCTTGCCTGAGCCCGAAGCTAATTGTGCCGGTATAAAACTTTGAGTGGGCGAGACTACGTTCGGCTCACCGTCAGATGGCCTTCCGGTGGCGTTCATTACGACGACGACGTACCAGAGAACGAAGATGGGATTCTTAGGATTTGGACCATACGAGACCACACCGATACAATTAGGGATCATGGCCTTCCTGATTCGGTCTGCCAGAAATACAACGCCAACAAAACAAGAGCCGCAACAGGAAATGGACGATTTGAAGGGTTGTGGCGCCCCAAAACAGCCCACTCCCTCCGCGGACGGCAGAATTGTAGTGCTGCAGAGCGGATGGAATGGAACGAACAGGGCTGGAGCGACGAACCACGCCGTCCCAGCGCCGGTTTTCCGCGCCCCCAGAAGAAGCCCAGTGCCGGTCTCTTTTTCTCGAGTTTTCCCCCCAATTCGCTTGCCCTCCGTCTTTAACTTGACAAATCGCACCACCAAACTCGCAACGTGGGTTGAGCTTGGCATGAAACGTCGCCCAACGCCGCAACGTCGACGGTTTCAGATGCAGCAGCTCCCGTGCGCTTCAACCACGTTCCTTGCATGTCCACACCTTAATTGACGCCCCGATTCACGTCCCAGTTGCTTTCTTTAGCAACAAGCTACAGCCACCCTCCCTGTTCTTGGGTGCCGTGTCGCGAGCAGAGTGAGAGAGGAACCAAGTTAACCAACTGTAGTTCTTGGTCCTATACCAGACGGATCTACGCATAAGCCAGGTTTGCCAGGGCCCCACAAGGGACGCGCAACCCCTTCTCACACTCTCGAGTCTCTCTTCCTCTTTCCCCTACCAACGAGGCGCTGATCCCATACGCTCTGATACAGCTCCGCGAAGGCTGTCTTGCCTGTGCTGCAGATTCGTCCGTCCAGCTGGCGTCCCGGCTGTGGCGGGTATCCGAAAGATCATCACCAAGGTCCTTATTTTTCGGATATCGGAACGCAATGGGTCTGGAATACCACCAAGCTCTCGTATGGTCTCAGTAAGGCCGGTATGGGCGATGAGGTTGGGTCCAACTCCTGAATACGGGACCTGCCAAGCTCATTCAATCCAAACGATACGATGATGGGCTTGGAAGCTGGGGAAGGGATGGAAGAAGCACTTCGTCCGCAACAACTTGAGGCTCATTGGCCCCTTGTCCCCGGCTTGGCGGCTCAAGGCAAATCCTTGCTCGCTCCCCGCGACGTTGGGAGCTGAGACAGTCTGGCGTGGGAATGGTGGACAGTCAAGTCAGAGCCAAAGAGGCAAGGAGGCTCGGCAGTCCCCGAACCCTGGACATCCCAACTCAGGCCGACTGCTTGCCTCTCTCTCCGCAGATCAGCCCGGTCAACCAGCCCCCGGCTGCCGACTGGTCGGTCCCATCTGCTCGCTCTGTTGCATGATATGTGAGTTTTTGTGTCTTCTATACGTCCAACACTCTGTGCAGGGAGTTGGCTTGTTTGAAAAGTAAGGTCTGAGCCGGTGTCTGGACATTGGAAGCAAAAACGTCACTTGCACAATTGTGTTCCCTTCTTTATAGTATTAACCTTCGCTGTTCCCCCTCCCTCGCAGTCCTTCTTGCATTCGACCTTTTTTTTTCGCTAGGCCAAGTTTCCATCACCAGATGTTTTTGTGATACCCAGATACCCAACTACTCACTCCGGCAATCATGGAGCGAGCACACTCTCTACTC